TTGGGGCTAGGGCTTTCGGTTGGGGTCCAACAGCTTGGGCTTCACGTCTTCCATGCGCTGGTTAGTCAATAGTGCGTTTGCAGTGTAAAGCTTGAAAAAAAAACCTCGCATGTCGACGCGTTTGCAGGTGTAAGGGGCATGGTTCGATTCACTTACTAGGTCTCATGTCCAGGAAATTTCGCAGCTCTACTGCCACGGGGCCTGGGATAGGGCCAGGTCTCCACTATCTCCAGCAGCCCCGGGAGCCGAGACAATTTCAGCTGCTTGTATACAGGGGATGTGTGTGAGGGATACAAAGCAAACTCCAGATCTAAAGGCCTACCCAATTGGACCTGCATCTTGAGAAATACCCAGAGGAGCTCCAGAAACTTCAGCTTCAACCTTTGCAGGCTCAAGGTTTGAGGTCTACTGAGGTCTTTGCAAAGCCCATACTGTCACGAAGCTTTTAACAAGCAGTCCTCAGCTTGACAACGGAGCCCAAACCCATGGCTTTTCACAGCTAGGGCTTGGGGTTTGGGGCTAAACTTTAGCTGCCAAGCCCTCAATCAACCAAACGAAGCCGCATCCCGAATCTCTGAAGCCCTTGCTATACGTTTGCTCAGTAATGCTTCCAGCCTCATGGTGGGCTTAAGCAGGATCATCTTCTCAAGATTAGGGTGACCTAGCTTAGAGGCATGAAGTCCCAAACCCAGAGCTGCAGAAGGAATGCCACACTTCCTGGAAAGTAGCAGGGAAGAAGGAACAGATCCTACAGTGCCCCGTAGAGACTCACCAATTTGTGATCCCATGTAACCACTAGAAGACCATGCAGGGTACAGTAACTGTATCGCAAATGAACGGCCGAATGCACTGGCTGTAGCCTTAAACATCCATCTGAAATTGAAGACTGAAACTCCGTACCCAAAAGCTTGAACTCCCAAATCCCTAAACCCTAGACCCGAATGACTCCCGTTCAGCCTCCTCGAAGAGGCGTTCGTTCCGCTGTTGCGCCAAGGCATAAGAATACAGGAGCATGGAGAAATTCATAGGTTGGAACCTGGGCGTTGTTGTAGGAACCAACCGTTTTGGGCTGGTGATAAAACACCACTAGCCTCTTGGTCCCTGAGCCCACACTCCTAAGCCCAACTCATCGGAATTCCCATCCTTGGCAAGATTTAGAATCTCAAGATATGTCCTGGCTACGGGAACCAGGCGGAACGGAAGAGGGTTTCCTTGCTGGAGCAAGGTCCCAAGGTAAGGAATGAAGGAATGCACAAATAAATAGGAAATACTACAGCATTTGGGTTTAGGGTTTAGGGCTCAGTAGGCACGGAGACATATAATGGAGGGAGGAACTCTCGCTGGAATTCATTACAGGATTTTCTATATGGATCCATTCCTCCATTCTCTACTAGCCATGAGTGAGCTTACGGATCTGCATTGCCACGCACAAAGCTCATGCAGGCTAAGTTAAGGCAGCAAGGCCTAAACTTCTCAATCAAGGGTTCAGGAATTATACTTGTTTGTCTAGAAGAAAACCTGGTTTTCCAGGGGTTCAGGTGTCCCTATCTAAGCATTTCGCGACAACTTCCTGGGCCTGAATTCCCATAGTCCTCTACACAAAGCTTTAGGTATTTAAACTCCGAACACTGAATCCAAGATACATCCTCCCGAGTGAAGTCCTTTTGAAGAGTAAGCGATTTTGAGAAGCTGTAGGCGGAAGCCTTGAATCCTGGGGAGTCTGTATATGTATTGGCCAAACCCTGAGGAGTCTGTACGTGTACAGGCCAAAATTTGGACTCTTCTCTGCTAAGTTGGCATAACTCGTAGACATACTAACATTTGGATTCAAGTCAAGTGCAGTCACCACTTTTTGCCCAGGTGTGTGTGTGTGTGTGTG